TATTTTTGCAACAAAAATAAACTTGTTCTTAAATTCCATTTTTCCTTTTTTTTTTTTATGGTTTTTGCCATAGGGCATGTGTGTTCATGGAGACAGACAGAGAGAAGGAAAATGAGAAATCACCCACAGGGGGATGGTCACACTGACATCCTTTCTCCTCCATTCTCCTATTGGGATTTTGAACAAACATACACATGCACTCAGTTTGATTTTCAAGCCATTGGACTGGGACTTGAAATACAGTTGGCCACATGGGAGTCTAGCACCGTAACCACTACACTACTCACTGGCTCCCATATCTGCAATTTTTAAGCTGCCAGGGCCACTTAAGTTGCAGTCAGTCATGTGGGACCACAGTCTTCTCTGTCCTTTATTCTGATCCTGTCCTTTTCTCTCAAAGTGGAGACAGTAAAAATCTGAAACACACCTGAATTGCGCAGCTTACTTGGAATGTAAAAGAGAGGCTTTTGTTTATATAAACATGTGCTATTCTCTTGCTGACTTCTTGTATCCTTTTGAGCCTTTTCCTCATGTTCTACTAGTTTTCCAAATGTCATCATCTCTGTTGTTCATGCAAGGCGTCAAGTTAGATATGAACTTTATTTTAACCTGGCTTTAGAACCATAACATGGACATTCTGTTTACATATTTTAATACGAATATTCAACATGATTTTTCAAAAGCCTGACAAGATCATTCTAGAATTATTTTGTAAAAACAAATAGGCAATGAATAAACATAATATGAAACATAAACTCAATAGAGAACCTCCATATGTCCTTATTGGGTATTAGAATATAATAAAAAGCAATATTAATCAAAACAGAATGATATGAAGCATAAAAATTAGTTTGGAAAATGGATCACTCCAAGGACCCCAGAAATAAACTACTTGTAATATATAAGTCTTCAAAATTACAGAATAGAACAATAGTAAATGAATAGTATTATGATAACAAAGTTATGAAAATATTAAGTGAAATCAAAATACACAAACTACACTAAAATCACCTCCAGGTATTAGTGTGTTCACTACCTTTTTGTTTGTTTGTATGTTTGCTTTTTTGGCATGTGCACTTGCCAGAAAGACAGAGACAAAAAGACAGAAAGCGAGAAATCACCCCCCAGGGGGGATGGCCACACCGCAATCCCTTCTCCTCCATTCTCCTCTCGGGATCTTGGGCACACATGCACACGCGCTCAGCGTGGGTTTAGGCCACCGGGTCTGGGACTCGAACTGCAGTCGACATAGCCATTATGCTAACTGTTGGTCCCAGTGTGTTCACTATTTTTTTAATTGGTAGATGGGTTGGTGCAGTGGTTTAGCTGCAATGCACTGCTCAAGCAAAGCTGGATCCGTATGGAAGATTACAAGTTTGGTCTTCAGTGCAGGCCAGTCACACAGGCCCTGATACTTGCTGTCTAGAAAGATGTGGGGGAGGTCACAATGTGAGACTGTTGAGAGTACTTGTCTTTCTCCTCTCTCTTTATCTCTGCTGCTCACTCTCATGAAATAAATCACTTTCTTAAAAAGCAGAGTAGAGGGATCAGCAAGTGGCAAAGTGGTTAAGGCGCTGGACTCCCACATGGCCAACTGCAATTTGAGTCTCAGACCTGGCAGCTTAAAAATCATGCTGGGAGCATGTGTGTGCATGCCCAAAATCCTAAGAGGAGAGTGGAGATGGGATTGTGGTGTAGAAATCACTCCTTGAGAGTGATTTCTCACTCTCTCTCTGTCTCTGTCTCCCTGGAAAGCACACACACCCTATGGCAAAAAAAAATCTTTAAAAAAAAAAAAATAGAAATAGAGAAGAGCTCTCTCACCCTGTGACAGCTTGAGGATGCTGACCTTGCCAATTTCAGGCTCACTACACCAGCTTCTGTTCTCAATTTAGTTCCCCAAGCATACTTACCTTCAGGAAGATAATGGACCGCCCATTCACTTAATACATGTGACTGCCAGGCACTGTGCTGGGCGTTTGGTTAAAAATGAGAAACAACAGACAGATAGCAACATTATCTTTCCCTTGCTGAGTCAGCAGCCAAAGGACAAACTCTTCTTAAATGAATGCAAAAGCAACACTGCTTCGTCTGACATCCTTCCCAGGCTCTCTCTGCCAGCATTGTGAGGTTGCCTGGCAAGGCTGCACCTGAGGGGCAGGTCTGCACTGCAGCCAACGCCCATCTCCTCCCACCCCACAGCTGTTTGAGAGTCACAGATTAAAACGGAATGAGCGTTATGTGTGTAACCGTAGACAGACATCTGAACAGATATATGAAAAGACTGGAAGGCAAAATACAAAAGGGTGCATTTGTTTGCTAGGGCTGCCATAACAAAATACCAGAGATTGGGTAGCTTAACAACAGAAATAGATTCCTCCCTTCTGGAGGCAGGAAGTCCAAGATCAAAGTGTCCGAGGGATTGGTTCTCCTGAGGCCTTTCTCCCTGGCTTGTGGACAGCCACCTTCTCAGGTGACCGCACAGACCCTGTTCCATGCATGCACACCTCTGGTGTCTGTTCCTCTTCTTGCAAGGTTACCAGTCAGACTGCACTAGGCCCCCACCTTTATGAGCTTATTAATGACCTCATTAAAGGCCTCATCTCCAAATACATTACATTCTGAGGTCCTGGAGCTTAGGGATTCAACATGCGAATCTGGGAGATACAAATTTCAGCACGAAGCCTAAGACTTTATTTTGTTATAAATTTATAGTTCTTTATTCATGATAGGTTGTGTGTACACACACTTGAGAGAAAGAGAGAGAAGGAGAGATGAGCACCCTCCCCAGGATCTGGTCATGCTATGATCCCCTCCCTTCACTCTCCACTGGTGGGATCTTGGGCATTCGCACGAGTGACCAACACGTCTCAGACTGACCAGGCTGAGTCAAACCATAGTTGCCGTGTGGTATCCAGCCTTCCTTGAGCAGCACATTACTCGTGGAGCCAGCCCCTACATGAAGGTAATCAAATAACCTTGCCTGCCATGTAACATGTCACGGTGATGTTGGCATTTCGTAAGTTTAAAATAGTGTAAATGATCTGAGGGGCTGTAAAGTCCTCGCTGGTCAGCAGCCGTGAGCATTCAGGTCAGAACTTACAGTGACGATCTACTTCCCCAGCTCAGAACAGAGGACTCAGCCCTCCCCCTGAGGGACAGGAGAATCTGCCTCAGATGCCCAGTACCTCAGGAGTGACCGCCTGCCCTCCACTTACTGACTTTGCCAGCTCATTCTATGCTTTTGCCATAAGAGATGAATGACAAAACATCACTGCACCTGCTGAAAAGAAAAAACAAACAAACAAACACACACCCAGAGTGACGCTACAGAATATTCATTTAATTTAAGCCAAAGTATGATATGGTGGGAGTGGGAAGTATTTTGAAGTGATATTTAAAACTTATCAATAATAGCAAGAATATGGACCCCGATCTGCACAGTGAACTAAATCGTAAACCAAACTCATGGCAAATTTTAAATTTAAATCGATGAGGATTCAAATAGGGAGAACTTTTATTCCAGTTACTTTGTTTGGGAAAACAAAAAAAGGACTTACACAATCACTTTTTTAAGTTTAGCATTTCACTACA